GTGCCCCCGCACACACACACACACACACACACACACACACACACACACATATATATATATATGTGTATATATATATATATATATATATATGTGTATATTAGTGTTTTATGGCAATTACTGTCCTAACACATGTAAATGTTTCAGTCTTTTTGTAGAAAAATAAGCTCTACATAATAATGTAAAAATACCTTGATCTAAATGTGGCCATGTGAATGTGTAAACTCTTAAAGAAACTCAAACACAGCCAAGTATCTAAACTAGGGGTTCTTTATTTCCGACCGCGTATGCAGAAGACGCGGCATTAATACTCAAGGTTTTCCATGAAGGGGAGTTGTGCCGATGAAATGTATACAGTGAAGAATAAACACAACCAAAAGCACGCTTCCCCAAAGGTATAAAGAAACAAAACAAAAATATAAGCACTTCAACTCGTGCTCACAGTTACCAAAATAACTTCAGGCCAGTTTCGCCAATTCCCCTTCTTTCCCTTTACCATGATAGCCCCACAGTAGCACAAAATAAAATAAAATTAATTAAACACAGTACAAATAAATTGGTGTGAGCCCTTAACCCCCTGGATAAACAACGGTAGTGGCTTATAATGCTTTCTAAAGGAAGAACAAACATAGAATATAATCAAATATACATTCTCATCAGCCACTTATAACTTTTGACTAAATAAATTCAAGTAAATCCATTTTACACTCTGTACATCTCTATTAATATTGTTATTACTATCTTCTTCTCCAAGAACAGATCATTAATTAACTCAAATTGACATTGACATCAAAACAGTAAACAACTAGTGACCATTTTCTCTGAGTATACAGATACATTTCCCAAACCCGGATGAAATCAATATTACTCACTCTGTGGCGTGCTGCGTCACATTAGAAATTCACCCAGCTGTCACCTCACATGCACCTTCACGTGCCTTCGTTCTCCCCTCTAGTATTATTTTATTAAAGGAGAAAGAAGTTTGGTTTACTTTCCCTTTCACTTCACAACATAAATGGCATGTCCTAAACTCAACGTTCACATTAAATGTCACTCACGCTCGATTTCCGCGGCCTGCACGATTCCTCTACGCAGATATTTCTCACCCACGGAGAAATACGAAATCTGTGTGATCGCAGACTGATCCAAACTGCTCAGCGACCAGACCAACACCCAACCGAGGAATTACCTTTTTTTCCCTGTCCAAACAACAGACGGTGTTGTCTTCCAGTCCACGCACCTCAACTCACTCGTGTCCGGGATGCCTCAATCATAAAAACCGTTTCCCCGAAATAAAACACTCTTTTTATTTTTATTTTTCTCACTGCGCTGCTCAGACGCACGAGAGTGCCCCCTAATGACGGATAGGCATAACCACCGGCAATTCTTATGATGACTACTCTTTGTTACCCGGCCACATTTGTTCTTTTTAGTCCCAGTGTCCTCACGCAGGATATAGCATAACATATGAATACAACTGAAAACTGTTCTCACACACACACACACACTGTGGCGGGAGGAGCACATGACAGACACAGTGGGTGTGGCGTCAGGCCTCGAGAGGCTTTTATTAACTGAAAATAACAGAAAAATGCCCAAAACAGAGATTAAAGTGTCCAAAGGTAAAGAGTGCTCAAAATAAGCCGGGGATCCGGTGTCCTCGTCGTGCTGCGGGGTTCGTGAAGGGAAGGGCAGTGTTCAGGAAGGAAGGGTGCAGGTAAGGGGCGGAGTCCGGCGGTCGCACGCGCTCTCCTCTCCGGTCCGGGGCGCGAGGGGCGGCGGCTTCATGCTTCTCTTTGCTCTCGGCGCTCGGAGGGACTAGACAGCCCGGCATCCTGTCCCGACGGCAGTGTAACGGTGCGGTTCTCGTCCGGACCGCGGGTCCGGCAGCTCACGGCTCTGGCGGCGCGAGAGTCCCTCTACGAACCCTTCCTGGACCCACGAGGACACCAGCGTGCATGCACGGAGAAGAGACCGGAGTCTCGAGGAGTCACTCTCTCTCTCTCACACACATACACACACACACACTTACACTCTCTCACACACACACTCACTCTCGCTCTCTCACACACACACACTCACTCTCTCTCTCTCTCACACAC